CCGTTCGGCACTTGTCTTACATTCTAATCATCTGTGTACCGTTGTTGGTGACACCTATCGTTCCGCAGCAAATTCAGGGAGGAATACGTCATTTCAATGGTTATTTGGGTTTTCCATCGCGGCGTTCGTTTTACATTACCATGAACACGCGGTATTATACCATTCGTTGCTTGGTAATTTCTAACGTTTTCGAAGTGCATGCGACCAATTCCTAACATATTGGAATATGTTTTCTGACAAAGTAAAAGAGACGTATTATGATCTCAATAATAAAAAATTCTCTTGTTAGTACGCGTTTTCTTTTTAAGACGTCGACTGGCAGTTATTTCTCCATCGTTATTGCTTTCAGTTGGGTCATTAAAAATATATCTTGCTCGGATCTAACGCCTCACGTAATGGTAACTCAGCAAAGTTTTCTCTCGGAGCAACCACCATTGCAACCTATCTTAAGAAACGTATTGCTTTTTCATATTCACTGGAGCCATTATATATTATATTCGTTATTTATCATATGCAGATAGTCCTATATTTAAATTTTACAAATTGTATAGCTTATTACTTTATTCATAACCATGTAAGCCATCTACATCTGATACATGCATCATTAAAATTAGCCAGTTAATATTTGATATTAATCATATATTAATACCAATATTAATATAGCAATATAATAAATGTGATAATTCAGACTTTTCTTTAAGAAACAACTTCTCATCATAATTTGAATTGACATACCAAAATTAGTCAGATAATATAAAATATCCTCTTCCGTCAATCAGGGTATTTTCTTCATGAATGTCATTGTGAAGAATTATGAATTTTTTTTTTGGTGCACTAATACTAAGAGCCCGTTTCTTTTGCCATCTATTTATCTTATGGTGATACAATGCGGTGCCAACAATATTCAACCTATAAACAACAACTCTGGAAAATATATATATATATATATACACTGAAGTTTAGCAAAAACTCTATACAATTTAACTTCATTGGGATAGAAAGGCTTTGATTAATTGAGCTATTGCTTCAACAAGTGTATTTTCAAAGCCACATTCAACAATTCATCCAGACAGTGACTGACCATTAAAAGTAAAATTACAATCATATTCTCAAACTTTCTCCGTTGGTTTTTCGTCTGACATAAATTTTTTAAAGATGGGTTCTTTTCTCTTTTTCGGTAACAGTGATAGTTAGGTTTCTTTGGTAAGTTCCTCCAACACAATATGAAAGGCATGGATATCAAGATTTTCCTCTGCTTCCTCCATTTTACTCAATAACCAAAAGGATATGCTCTAATACTAACACCATTTTTACATCAGCCCTGTGTTTTTCCACAGTTCCAAACCAATCAACAGTGACAGGGGGCTTTGACAACTCAAATTTGGTCCCTTTGTCATTGCTCACTTTGCAATGGAGAAAATACACTTCTCAGCATCCGTAATGATCCCCATATGCTTCTTCAAGACCAACAGTGTCTTCGTCCACTTCATTCTACTTGTGCTTTGCAACCAATCTATTCCCAATAGTAAGTTAGCATAGCCCAAAACAATCCCATACATTCACATACCAAGCATGCTTCAAGCTGGACCACATTCTGAGCAATCCCTTGTTTGAGATCGTCTTTTGTGACCTCAGTAACACATACTGTTGCACCTGCGTGATGAGACTCAAGAGCGAAGTCTACAGGCCCATGGCCATGTCTTCCGCGAAGTTTCTTTTGAGGTCTGAGAACGATATCTTCTTTGAAACAACGAATCGCTGCGACAAGAAAGGACCTGACATATGGGGAGCTGGTTGCCTCGTTTGTCAGGTCGAGGTCGGTCGTGTCGTTTAGTGCCTATTATTCGATCAAAATGGTGAGTCAAACTGCACATTAGAAACACAAGGTTCACAATGTTCACCATGGTTATGTAACTTCAAATCATTGATCAGATGCGCTAGATGTTGTTCGGCTGCTCGATCCCCGCCTATCTATATCGTTCTTGTATCTGGAAAGTACAATACTGAATTCTGACCGTAAAGGTTTGATAGAATAGTGAAATCGTACCACAATTAAACACCGGGAATGCACTTAGAGAGGAATCTTCGCCTTCAGAGATGCCAAAAAAGTGACAGACTTCTTGGATATGCTAATTGGACACAATTAAATGGTATACGCGTTAATGATTGAAAGTTGAGATTGATAGAAAGTCGACTTTGAACTCACGCATCATTATGAACGCACAAGTTTGGTCAAACATAGAGATATTACCATAATATTGAACAGTTATCCGAAGCTTGGAGGTAATCACAGCATTAAATATTTCACCTCTGAGAATATCACCGTTATTCGATGTCAAACTAGTGGCAGGATGTGGATGTTGTAAGCAAGAAAGCCTTTGACACTATATGAAGAGAATGTTAGTATAGCATAGCGATGGGCGGCAGCGCTTTCATAAAGAAACAATGCTCTTATCGAATATACGTACACGTCTCGAGGGAAACGTTAAAACTTAGGGTTCCAGCTGTCGCCATAACCTTTAGTGTTCTCCGCAATCCGAATCATTCATAATAATGGCTTTTTTCGTGCCTACGAAAATCGCCAATATGGCCACATTGACATCTTCAATGTCAGCCCAATCTTTCTCTTAAACTTGTCAATGGAGTTCTCATTAATATTCGTGACCCACGGAAACGATGTCCCCTTTTGGGCTTCATAGTGACATCGAAAGCTAAACAAAAAAAAAAAGATAGATCCGCGCTCGTTGATGCAACATAGTCAATATCACAAAGATATTACAAAAGCAGCTTCACGTCCCTAAACACGGTTGAATAATCAATTCTACCCTATGTACACAGTATTCTTTATTCCCAACACCCCCGAGTCACGAAGTCGTTACCACTAACTTTTAGCGCCTGTTACTTCGGACGACAACTTTGAGCGGGTTTCTTGCGTAGGACCAAAGGTTCTGTCCGCCGAAAAATCAGGCTCCAGATCCTTCTCCTCATGTTTTCGGAGCCTAATGTCGTCAGCGTCGACTTCACCCAATTTAGTGGCAAGCTTCCTCTCCGCCAAATTTGACTTTCACCGGTTCGCTCTCGTCGTACTTGACCTATATGTTGAAAGAAAGAAAAATTTTGTATGAAATCTGCGCGACGTAATCTATATCCTGGTGGCTTATCAATGACGTGTTATTATGAAATTTCTGGACCTTTCACAGCGTAACTATCGTATGCAGAATGTGACCAAAGTCAGAGTGATCGCACCGCACGTAATAACAAATTGTATGTAAAACGTAAAACTTCTTTGCCTAAACGGAGCAATCTCCATCAGCAAACGTTATTTTGTAGTCTATATGACAGCACAATAATATGAATGGAGACCTTGTTTTCATTAAGTTGGGAAATTTGCGAGTTTCGAATTCTTGATCACTTTATTGTTTATAACAACTAATTCAAAATGCAACCAATTTAAACAACCGCACAAATCAGTATCAAAATACACTCCACTATCAGGTCGAAATATAATAAATATTTGGGATGAAATAAATGCAGGTGTGTATCTGCTAAATTCTTCACGAGCGTATCTAAGAGATTATGAAATCTTAAAGGAACATGGAATAACATGGGAATTCCTTCTTAAACATGTTGACGCAATTCTTGAAGATAACGTAGACCTAAATGCACTACACAAAGAATTAATTAAAAATATTATAGGTGAATATGGTGCATTTAAACATTATATGCAAACTTCAAACTTCGTCCATAAATTTGTGCAAGTCACAGCCAAATCAAGTTAGTTCACATCAGCCATATTGTTGCCACGTTATAAATCAAAAAATTAATTGAATAATCAATTTAATCGAGCCTAAGAAAAGACATAAGAACAAACCAAGCAAACTAGAGTTACTTACCAGACGTCAAAAAACTGTGGAAGAAATTTGAAAACTTGTTTGGCAAAAAAGATGAGCTGGATCCAAACTTTTTATTTGATCAAATGACCGTAAATTACGCGAAGGAAAAGGCATTGCAACCTCCACGATGAAAATTTTTATAAAACGGAAAACAAAATTTACATTAATGCTATCGAAAATTTAAATTTGCACCAGAGTGACCAAACAACAGTGATCGCATTTTGTAATCAATAAAGTCTACAAAAATCAAATCGTTACTATTAAGTTATTTGTCTCATTAATTATCATTATATCAAAACATGAAATGTAATCAAGCAGTCCTTCATCAACAAATCAAACAGTCAGAAACGATGAAAAACAATCTTTTATAAGTTGCTCAATCAATAGAGGCTCGATGGGAAGCTTTTATTATTATGTTAAATTTACTTATGTTTTTTCTAGTTTTTGCTTTTTCTTGGTTATTATGTGTTGATGTTAATGCTCATTTATTAGTTGTAATTCCTTTCTTTTTGATAAATTGCATAAGTAATTGTTTTTTATCTAGATATTCCTGGAGAGTTTGGGTATTATTGATTTTTAAAACATAAGGCGCAATTTTTTCTCCTTGAGTTTTTTTAAAATGCTTCTAATAGTGTTGTAATTTTTGTTACCATAGTAATAGTGGATTTAATAAAATTACTTTATGTTTATATTGATAGACCTATATAAAATATTACTGTTATAATTAATAATGCAATTAAATTTATCCATGAATGCAGACATGGGCCACTAATGCTAATACTAAACCAAAGTTAAGAAAAAACTCAGTTGCTTTAGCCAATTTTTCAGCCATGCTAGCCATTTTTAACTCACATAATTAAACGTTTACTTGTCTGGTTTTGTTGCAACATGTTCTACATATAGTATAGTTATAGCGGAGAAATCAGTAGCAACTTGCATAAGCAGCAGAAGAATTATAAATTAGACAATGCTAAAGCCTTGAGTTGTGCCTCAATCAAAACATGACAGTATACTAAAATTTTGGTTAATTTTTAGGTGTGGTAGGAATGCAATGAGAATTGACATGGGGCTGGACATTATTATTATAAAGATTTAGAAAAAAATTAGAGATTTTGTAATTGTTGGATATTCGTATCTCAAATGACATGCAATAGACCAATTCAATTGTCTTTTTATAGTATAAGTAATGTAACTTTAATTTCCAATCAATGCCAACAGTATTTGCGACATAATGTAACTGAATATTAGCTCTTACATCTTCAGAGTTTGTTTATTGTATACAAGATTACTTGTGCATTCTGATATTTGAGATTATTACCCATTTTTTCTTTATAGTTTTAGAATGTGAGACAATAGTCTATTACTATGTCATGCACTATATGAAAGGAGAAGTCTGCATTGTATATTAACATGTAGACATTATTAAGAGAATCTGTTATTGGTGAATAATTGTCGATATAAGCTGGGTAATAGTAAATGGACAATTCTCAGGTAAGAAACAATTTTATGTACTTATGAACAACCTGTATCTTTCAAAGTATAAATTATGTAATAATAATTACTTACAAAACATGACTATTGGTCTAACATTGTGTTTGACATTATTATTATAGAGTTTAATAATGGACTATTACTTGAAATTGCAAGACATATCAAGAATGGTGGGAAAATATTCTAATAAAAATCCACCGAATACTATTGTTACCACCAAGACAACAATTCCTGCTTGCAAGTGTGGTAAAAAAGGGAAAAAACGGGCCCCCGCAGCAAGCCGAAAACCAATGCTCCACGCCACTTTGGTTTTCGGCTTGCTGCGGGGGGCCCGTTTTTTCCCTTTTTTACCACACTTTTATTTATGTGATCTCTCCAAGTTTTCGATGAAACTATCTACCTGCTCTGCATTACCACTTTCCTCTACCCTCCGGTACATATACATATCCCATCAGTTTATTAACAGTAAGTCATGATTGTGAGCTATTGATTAGTATAACTGCGTCTGATGTTGTTGCTGAATATTTTTTTCTCTCTTCGTAGCGTGATGCATATTTGCGAATTGTCCAGTCGATTCCTGAAGATCGTGATGAAGAGTTTTTAAATTCTCTTAGTATTGATGATAAGACTATGGCAGCGAATGGTGTGCTTAAGACTTTGTCTGGTATGATCGTAAACTTGGAAATTTCCCCGGAAACTTTCGCTCAGATGGAAGTAACCTTACTTCCAGTAATTACGTATACTCTACAGAATAATATTGTCGGTAAATGTGGTTGAAATGACCTCATATTTTGATGTCCATTAGCCTTGCACAAATCACCTGAAAATCACGGGCGTGCATAAATAGAGGTGGAATTCATATACAGTCAAACCTCTTTATACCGATACGAGTGGCACCGGCCATTTGCATCGGTATAACGAGTTTATCGGTATAATCAGAGGCCCTCTTTATAGTGATATTATTTATGGAAACCTCATTATATCGGTATAACAAATTAAATAATAATCATATCTATGTTCTGGCCCGACGAGCATCATCTTATTCTATCAAAGTTTGTTTTGCATTGGGGGCTTTGGATCCACCTAGCTTTGTATGAATAAAACCATAGAGTCCACAAGTTTTACTTGTGTATTCTTCTGCACGTTTCCAAGAGTTTTACAACACGTCCCGAATTTTCTTTGCGACTCATTACGTATTAATATTTTTGCTCCCGTAAACTTATTTATTATTTTTCTTCGTCGCACCGATTGCCTGCATTAAGACAAAATCATTCCCTAACCTCAAAACTAAAACCACCCGCCCGCTTTACCAAACCTACCACGACTAATACACTTGCGTCTACTAGAACCGTCGCAAGACAGGCGAAAACTGAATATAATGAGCAGCGACGGTTGTAGTTCGTCGCGAAAAGCGAGCGAAACCTCGTGCGGTGAACATGACGGCTTTTTTCTCCCCGTCTGTCTATAAGAAATTTGAGAGAAAAAATTTTGGGGGAAACGCGAGGCATCATAATCTTACAATTAGCTATTGCTTTAACTACTCGCGGAGCGGTTCAAATGAGAGCTATTTGCTTTAACAGGTTGGCCGTCTTAATACTCGTCAGAACATTCAAGCCTTTTAAGTCACTGTATTTCCATTTCACGCCAATGCAACTCTTACTTATCAGTTTCTCCAGAAATCCATCTTATCTAGCAATTCTTGCTCAGCCACTGCCTTATCAGAAGCAAATTGTCTGGCATATTTCATAACCTCTTCCTTCAAGTCTGGCCATTTCCAAGAAAAGTTGAAGAGAATTTCAGTCGCATTGTTGGGAGAAATCTCTTGCAAAATCTTGGCTCCGATGCCAAATCGACGTGAAGTAATTGCTCCCAATCCCCCACGAGCCTTTTCTGTTGAATTCTGCGGAGATATCACTGGTTCTAATACTTTGAAATGACTTTCTAATCCTCTCCTTTTCATATAAACCAGCAGTGTTTTATCCGTGATCGTTCCAACTCCGAAATATTGTACATTCGTGCATTATATGACCCGAATTTTAAAAAAGAACCATCCCAAATATCAACAATTATTATCGACGAAATTTCAATGGTCTCAGCGGTGTGGTAAAAAAGGGAAAAAACGGGCCCCCGCAGCAAGCCGAAAACCAAAGTGGCGTGGAGCATTGGTTTTCGGCTTGCTGCGGGGGCCCGTTTTTTCCCTTTTTTACCACACAACTATGATAATTAGACAATCTAGATAACTGATATGCTGACATAAACGTTTTTAGAGTCTTAAAGGTTTTAAGCATGCTTTATCCATTATGTAACTCTATTTGTCAATACAATAGTCATTTGAAGGGCCTAATAAACGCCTGTTACGAATGTTTGAAAAAGAATATTACAGTTACAGCTGCGCAATTGCATATAGTAATAGTAATAGTGGCCGCAAGTCAAACATGTTTATGTTGGCGAGGTTTTGGATTGTGTTTTTGAAGATTAAGCATAACGGTAAATGTTATCGGAAATACGGTTTGTTTGCTTATTTTTTACCTCGCAGGAATTAATACAGGATTTCTATTTCGGTAAATCATAACCGTCTTTATTACATAAATTGCATAGCGTATGCCGGTATTAATGAGAAACTTGCGTGTCACACCATACAAAAGTTTTTTCAAGACTTAAATCCTAATTTTTGGTCACCTTGTCCGTTTATAGCAAAAGACGAATCTTATGCTTTTAGAGAAATTGGTTGAAAGAAAGAATGTTGGGATCCTAAACTTGACATACGTGGGCATAAGCATATTGACTGAATGACCATGCTTGGCATCGAGTCACGTTATCTGATAAAAGGCCTGATAATCAATCTATCAATACATGTAGGCATACTTGTCGGATGCATTCTCTTTATGCAAACTACCAGGAAACTCACCATCGTACTGATTAATGTACCACGTACTCGCATCACATTTCTTATCGTAGAATCGGGTACTAATACACAAAGAATTAGCATAACTAGTCTTATTGAATCACCCAATTAGCATTAACCTTAAGATTATGCAGGGTAATGTATAACGAAAACAAAATGAACCAGTGAGAATATAACTGCGCGATAGAAGGGTATGAAAAGAAAAAGGAAACTTTCGACAATGAAAGGGGAGCGGACATCCGTTTTTGGGAATATTTGAATGCGAATAGTTACACACGTTATTAATAATTATTAGCCCCCATTTATGTCAATGCGCAACCATCAGTTGCACATTTGAACACACCACCATGTATGTTATGTGACAAACCGCAATACAGGTAACAAAAGAATGTAGACAAACGCTGAATGGGACATACACCTAAATTAGGTTGTAGGTAACAATAGACAAAGCGAACATTATCTCAATGTGATAATAATTGTTAACTAGATCGATGATGACAAACGACAACAACAACAACAACAACAAAAAAAAACAACTGATGCTTGGCATTTATTTACAATAATCTCACACTTCTCCTCAGGCTAACCAATTCGTTTACATTTCATTCTAGAAACATCCAAAATCAAAGCTTTTATTTACAGTAATTCCTCTATGTAAAGAGGATCTGGGGAAGGTAAGAATTCTAATCATACAAGGAAAGGGCTGTGGGGAAGGGGGAAAAAACGTCTGTAAAATACAATGCATAAAAAACGAATTTAAAACCATAGTCATAATAAATTCATATATATACGTTTATAAATATTTATATTAACACATAACGAAAAACAAAAGTGTCCATCTTGAATCGAAGATATACGGAAATAAATAAAATATTAAATACCCTTGAACCATCAATAGTAAAAAGTAAATTATGTAAAACCAAAACAATACACAACAACCAAAAAAATACACAACAACCAAAAACCCCCAATTCCAATTACTCAAACGTTACGAATGCATCATTGAAAATCCAAGAGTACTCTGTGGAAGCAGTGGAAGATCCAGATGATGGGTATGGTGCACTCAGGTATGAATTTTGAGGATAGAATTTATTGTCCACGTTCGATAGTAGCTCGATAGGAGAAATCACAGAATTTTCAAACGGAAAACTGGTCTGCGGTGATGGTGTGCAGCAATCTGATGGTGACCGGGACATAATATCTACGGGCGAAACCACCGTTTCTATTCTCATTGCGTTAGAATTACTAGATAGAGTGTCTACATTTCTACTGCTGATCCCCAAAGTGTTCATTATTACATCCTGGTCGATGCTGTCAGCCGGCTCTTTCTTGCTTTCATCAGAATTTGGAAAATGAACTTGAATCGCCGCATTTCTTTGATCACTCGGTGTTGCCAGATAATTGCGGTAACTCGAGTCAATGTCTGCTGCAATGTTAACGTAGGCGTTGCGTTTACCAAGCGCTACGTCGATGCTTACTTCAGGCGGAAGATTAGCAGTGGCTGCAGCAACGTGTTTGAGGGAATCTATCACTGCACTGTACTGCTCGTCTGGTTTGTTGAGTCGTCCCAAACATTCTTCAATTAGAAACAGAATATTCTCAAATACTCTCGATTCAGAAACTGCTTTATGTAAAGTTTGGAAAACTTGCTTGTCATTGAGATATTGGTTAGCAGACTCGGCTAACATTCCCATGATTTTTTTCTCAAGCTGCAAAATTCTTATAGTTGCATGTTGATCCACGATCTGTTTCTTTTGCTCTTTTAAATTACTTTCTGTGTTGTCTAGCTTTTGTTTCATGTGTTCGAGCTGTTTGTTTTTTCTGGGTGATTGATCATAAACGCATTGATCCGGTATACAATTGGAACAAGGCTTCAGTGTTTCTGCATTCCCGTCACAGCGTACTTTACCTTGACGGCATCTCTCGCACGCACGTTTGTTGATTGGACCCCTCTTTCGCTTCAGCATGTCATCGCTCGAGTGTGAATGAGGATGTTGTGTGTTGGATGGTCTGTGAGCAGTCATTGTAATATTGTATGAATGTGCGGTCTCTGATGGAAGCAGATCGAATATTTTAAAGACTAGTTGATAAAAAAAAAGCAATTATATAACTGGTAGTATGAACGAAAATGTATTAGGTGCTGAGTGTATAAATAATGCGTCTTCGTTTTGAGTTTGTGGATTAATACTAACTGTGTGTTGATGGATATATGTATGTTGTATGATGCAAGACGAATGATGTGTATATGAAGACGAAGACGTGATTGTAATAGTGTTTGTTGGGTTAAGTATATAAAGCTCCGGTTGAAGTTAATGGGGACAGTAAATAATTAATAAAGATATAAATCAGTTATACATGTATGTATGGGTTCATGGTTTTGAAGTTTTGGGCTTGCGACGACGACTGCCCTATATATATACACAAAAATTCGATTTTTTATGTAGATATAGTACACTTAATTCAAATGTGGCGGGTGGTTCCAATCAAAGTTTGTGTGGCGCGAGTGCCAAAATTGTTGGAAGAATAGTGAAATCGTCATTAAATATATTGCATTAAACAGTAAATAGTTATGATCGACCATTGTAAAGAGATCAGGCGGACGTGTGTGAAACTTCACTCGTGCAAAAATGGGCAAATTCTCGTCGAATGGAAATATTGTTGCCGATTATTGAGAGGAAACAAATTTGCCCATTTGTTTTTTTTTTTCGAAACGTTATCGGGGATAACCATCATATTGTTGACAATCAATTGAAAGGTTAAAAGGGTTTGACTGTGTATTTATGTTTCTAAAATGCATTATTCCGTTTGCACGATTTAGTGCAATTGAAGACAATGACTGTCATGTCGTAGATTGGAAAGCACATCATATATACGATTCTCAATAACGTTAGCTGATATCGACATATGCAACTTATGACCACGAACGGACTGTGTTGTTATGTGAGTGGAAGCAAGCGTTTGACAACTGCCAAATTAATGCACATAAAGGCAGGCGAGAGAACAAACGTTAGCGCCCAATTCGTTAGTGTAACATCTATTTTTAGCTTGTCATACAAAAGTGTTACAACGAGTATCCCTTTCAATATTAAGGGGTTGGTTGAAAGAGGTTGTATGAACATGGGCAGTTCAAATTTACAGAGACTAAGATGGAAAAAGTTAGGAACCTTACGCGCAATAGATGGGTTGGAAAAATAAAAGATTTGCTACTTTATTTTTTATACAATGCGTCATTGGGAACAAGAGTTTTTTTATCCTTGCCAGTCTCCCGTTCAATGTGTGTTCATGCGCAGCCACTAGTGTGTTCATATAAAGAAAATGTATCTAGCCTAATTTGTAAATGCCATCCATTCAATTATACTGCGGGAAGCTAATGATGTGTCGCTCATTCTGCATCGTGCCCATACCATTAATCCAATAAGCTGTCATCAAATCTCCTTGTTTTGCTTTTGTGAATTGGAACGCAAATAATACAAAAATATGTGTATACGCAAATAACAAAACTTAAAAAAACATATATAGTTTTAATTAATATCAGAAATGAGTGCCAATTTACCCGTTTCATATCATTACCCCAACGTAACGTTCAGTTTCCCTATCTTTAAAACTCACTCAAACTGTGTTATTTACAAACCCATTCCCATTTCAAGCCCATAATGTCAGCATGCATGTCAGATTCAGAAGATGGGCGATTCACTAGAATGGTGGGAATTCACAACCCCACAGATACGAACATGGGACGTATTTAATGGTTGCTCTAATGAAATTTCAAACAGGTACAGTCCTTTATGTAGTAATTGGATTACTCACCAAGTCAAACCTTAATCAGACTTGGCGAATAACTACTGAGAACAGTGATTTGGCTATGACCTCATAGCAAAGTGAGATAAAATTAGAATTATTTATGTAACGTATATTGCATACACAACGTGTCGTATCTGCACGCAATGCTTTATCCATCTTTTCCCCCTCCGTGAAATCTAAATTAAACAACACGTAATCATAAACAGAATGCTTTTTTAGTCCATACATCATGCCCTCCCGGCCATATACTACTTTATTTTTCGAACTGGTACAAATAGGTGACAAACAATAGGTTGGCATTTATAATTAGCTGTAGTAATTGTACCAGCAGCATTTTTGAAACTTGGATGAAACTTTTTGTTCTCAGGCTACACTAGTATTGTACTGTACATACACACACATATATAAACATTATTGTTATTTATGTTACGATGCGGAAATGCACCATTTCAAAATATGTATGTTGTGGCATACAACCTAAAAAAGGTAATTCTGAAAGCGGGATCGACTCAAACGTTTTGGGGGAGATGTAAAGTCCCGGACTGCCTTATGCTTATTTATGGCCAGTTTGATTGTGGCTGAATGTACACAGTAAACGCCACACCACCATTGCTAGCACTAATAAAGAAAGAACTGTTCCAACGTGATGACGGGAGTTGTCTGAGAATATTCATCCAAGGATCGGCTTAATGAGCAAAATGAAAGAGTTGAATGCACGACTGTGCTACGTTCTTGCTCTCACATGAAGATGAAAAAAAAAAAAAACAAATTATCGCCTCCTTACAAGTGATCGCCAATTGAAAGATTCGTTGCTAAATTTGGCACGTCAAATTTGTGATGGGGCTGGTGAGAATATATACGGTCATTGTATTGTATTGTATTGTATTATTTATTATATGAAAATTAAGTAATACTTGTAATAATCAATCTCGTAATCTTACTTGTTGATTTAATTGATAATTGATTGCCTAGTGAACAACGAATTTCATATGTGGTCTAACTAAATATTTTAGTTTCGGCTCAGGAACACGATTTTGGATGAACAAACGCATTCGATCTTTTTGAAATGATTCGACCCATTTACAACAGATCTGATGTTTCCTCCAGCCCCAAACCCCACCCCTTTTTCTCTAATAACATCTGTAAGCAGCACGCGTTATATCACACCATCTACGCCCACAATACAAATATGTGACAGAAAGTAACAGCGAACGGGTAATCAACATCATCGAGTCTCGTCAGTAGCACATAATAATCTCAAACAATAGTAAACTCCTTGTGAGGTAAACTTGAGTCTATTAATATATGCAAGAGAATATAAGTTACAGTTTTGTGCATACGACTTTGCATATATTTCCTGTAATTAATCAATATATTGCTTTCGTTGTATATCTGCATTATCAACTTCCTCATTGTCAAAGTCTTTTACAATATTCACATCAGTTGCCTATAGCAGTAAGGATCTAACTCAATTATGCTAATGACTACCATATAATACATACAAGTCAATTTGCATGCTTCATCATCACCACTTGATCTATGAGAATGTTAATATAGGAATTTGTGAAAGAGACGGTACGTACAACGAAGGAAAGATAAAGCTAATAAGGATAGATGACTAAGTAACTCATTAAATGCTTTGTGATATGGGATTGATATACGATAAGCGGTGGTAACATTCATACAATGGCTAGAATGCTATAATTGAACAAAAACGAGTAGGATATCCCAAAAGGGAAGCAAAATTACCATAACATATCGACAACAAATAATACTGCAAAAATAAAAGGGGATTAATAATATACAACGTATTATCAAGCAAATAGTGGCACCATTGTCACACTCGGTTTGTGTTGACTCAAAGACCAACAACCAATATTTCTGGCCTCTGTGTTGTGAGTATTTCCCCCTTTCTTTCCATCTTATTGTACTTACTAGTCTCACTATGACTTCTTTACGGCCTTCACCTGCAGCCTATCGTTGTTAGATCTTCATTCTTTTTTCTGTATTCCATCCGTAACAAACATTTGAACCTCAATCCAACAAAAACAATCCAAAGCCTGTACCACATTCAACAGTCGATGATGAGAGTGCTCGGGTCATCGGGTGTCTTGTTTTCATTGTCATGTGCATTGTCTGTTACACAATATCAGCTTTACCTGGTGTGAATGCCGAAAACGAAACAACAAACACACATCTTCAACTCCCCAATTGGAATTAGCGTTTAGTCTTAATATGCTAGCTATACTTACTGATAAAACGCCAGACATTCTCAGAATGCTTGGTTACATATACCATTCTCTCAAGACATTCCTCTTCTCACTTCCGCAGAGAAAGGTCTTACGTTCGTACATGAAAATTCCATATAGAATATCATATTCAATCATTCTCAACTACTCACGCACACTTGCATCATTTACGTTGCATTGTGTGCAACACAAACAAACTGGTCAACTGATTCAGCAACGGGCAAGTCCGACAGCTTAAAGACTGTGACAGAATGTCCAGAATTCCAATCTTTCTCGCAACCGATAGCAGATTAACAGCCACCATGGGGCTCGTCGTTTTACGCCACATGCTGTAACTATGATAAATTCAGAACACTGCAAAAACACTCGGCTAAATATGAATTAGCCCAAATGTTTATTCATATCGTAATCCAGCCTTTACCGTAAAAGAATTTATTGTACGATATTCTAAACGGGAACAGAGTTTTGGTGCTGGAAGGCGTCAATTTTAGCATCGCAGCTCAACATGTACACTCTTTTGGTAATATGAAGCGGTCATGTGCGATAAACACCGCCGCTCGAAAGTAAACAAGATCACCGAGGAAGGGGATATTTGTATAATGCTTACCTTTAATATTGAAAGCAGAGAATATTCACTCTCAGTCTATTGTCTTCGCTTTTTGAGATTCCGCAGATTCCGCAGTTTACAATTCACCCCTGATACCGCAGTTAGGAAACTGTTGCTGCGTATAATAAATCGTTGCTAGTCTGTTATCTGGAAATTTACATGAATTAATGCATACTTACTGTCAATGTATATTACCCACTTCAATACTCTTATGCTTGCGAAAGTGAACATGTTCGAACTATTTTAAACATAGCTTTTTGGCAATACCAATATACTGTGCATTTATAAGTACTGCAACTCGGTGAATGATTTAATGGCTGTGGCTCATTCGCGAATAAAATTTGAAACGTAAACCTGGCCTGGTTGAGATAAACATTTACTTGCAATATCATTATATTGTAATACATTTCCTATATAATATCGGCTCATCTAATAAACTACGTTAAATCCGGAATTAGAAGCATTTAAAGAACGCTAAGGAAAAAAAATTGCATATGTTTTAAACATAACCAAGCGCTCTATGAATATCTATAGAAAGTAATCAAAAAGTTTAATCAGTTTCCAACAACTTTAATTTGAGCAACTTGACCATTTTGTTGTCCTTCCAACAATTCGTTTTCTCTTCCAGTTGTACAACTTTTCCCCAAACTCTTTATCTTATTATTATTCAATAATTCTTGTTTTCGTCTTTTACTTTGCCGCTAAGACTTTTTTTGAAATTTGGCCACTTCCTCTCTTCCAATTTCTAACGTTTCCTCGGCTGTGACTAATTCTCCTTAATAATTTATTTGTAGAAGGCAAATAAATGTTTAAGTGAACCAGGAAATTTTTTCTTCTTCTCCTTTTATGTTTAGCATAATAATAAACACAAACATACTTAATACTGCAAACATCGATATTAGTATCTGTTTGTAATCTACCACACTACTCTGGCCATTTTCAAACCTCTCTTTAGTTACTCTTGACAAGCACAGTCATTATTAATTAATTTATCTGTCAACTTGCGTTTATTTTTTTATTTGACAAGTGGTGAGCTTACTCTCTTATCAGCTATTATTATTAAAGCCATCGCAACAAAACTTAATTTATTTCTTCTAACTCTAAGATCATAGGAAATTCTTTGATAAATTACTTATCTAAACTTTTAATCCATTTTTGAGTTTGTCAATAGCTTTCTACCAACAGTCGCTTGATCTTCACTCCAAGCTTCTTTAAGGCTTTTTTTTGTAATTGTTTGTTATTCTCATTATCTATTCTGTTACATTTTTATATTTTGGCTTTTATTTAGCTTTGTCAAGATAACTATTAATTTATTCGACTACTAATTGACTTCTCAAGAGAAGATTTCCAAACTCATAATAATAATAACTATAACAATTTTAACTGATTGAATTTTCTTGATATTCTACTTTTGTTATTTCTCTTATTTTCTATTTTGATCATTTTTCAAACAATTTTTAATTTGATGGATTGATAAATATAAAGATAGTAGTCTTTTTAATTATCTCTTACTTTGTCAATGAATAGATAATTGCGTACATATATAATGAGAATAATAAAATAACTATATGCATTGAGTGCTAAATAGTCGGGATACAACTTACAAACATTAGACCATTTTCGTAGTTACAATAAGTTTTCATAATTTCACCAACCACATCTACATCAGGATATTAATAAGGTTCATGCGAAATAGTCGCTATTCATCGTCTAACTTTTTTACTATTCAACTGTTGAATTGTAATGAACACAACAATCGTTATTTAAATTCCAATAATAGTTGTCGAGTTCCGCATCGTTATTCGAGTTTTGAACTAGCTTAGTATTATTTAATCCCGCGGTACTCGATTTTGCCATTTAATACGATCCCACCCAATCTCGATCTACAGTCAATTTATATTTTTAGCATGTCCGATTATTTCGAAATAACCGCAAGTTACTAAATACAGGTAAATTCAAATAGTAAAATTATTTTGATTCACCGGCATTACCACAAGTAACTTTTAATCTCTTAATTTCATCGAATATCATACTAATACCCAGCGTGCTATTAGTTGCTTACCCTATTGTTTTGTTCTCAATTAATTTGTCACGCACTGCTTTACTTTACGCGAACTGAGATTATAACTTACTTGATCAGAATGGGCATTATATCTGGTAACATGTCTTATGTAAAAATGAGAATGACTTGGACGCGATATATTTCAACAAATTAGAGGAATTTCATTTACTAGAAAACTTTAGCGAAATGGGCTACAAGATATTACGAGTCAACGCATTTCGCATAACTATATCACATATCTCATTGAGTTGAGACCTCGCATGGCATGAGACTATGTGATGTAATCCAACAGACACTAAACACCGCTCCTTTGCAAGTCATCTTCTGTTCCCACATAAGCAGCATTTTCCATTGTGCATTTGAGGAAGTGCCATTATTTACAATCTGCTACGAGCCCATATGCGGTCATAGAAGTTCCCATATACCGCAAAAACTGTTCAATATCAGTAGACACACACCAAGAAAGAAATCATATACAACTTGATTCACATACCCGCAATTCAAAACTAAAATCAATAGGATCATAACCAGCTAGCCGCGTAAGCAGCTTTAGAGATCCACCTTAGTTGCGCCTAATAAAGGACACGAAACCAGCTAGCCGCGTTTGTGGTTTAAGAATGATGTCATACTTGAAAGCATACGGTCAGTGCTGTTGTTAGGAACGAACAGACATCAACAGACCGAGTTGCTTCATCTGTAGAGTCGTAACATTATCAAATTAGGCTAGTAAGTCAAATACAAGCATAGCCCGAGAGATCAAAATTGGCCATGAGCCCGCGAGTATGATTACGCATGATCAGCGAATAATGTCTTATATTTTCATATTAGATTCTATTATTCGATTGTTAATTAGACTACATAACTGAATTTAAATTGTCCCATATCATCGATATCGCGACATTACGATTAAATAATTATACACATAAGAACAAGAGTCAAGAAACATTGAATATTTGAAAACAAAAAAGAAAAAGAAATAGAAATAGAAAAATTGGGCAAAATGAGACATTAACTATGAGCCAATACATTCCATTAATAGAACGTCTACTATATCCACCTTGTTATCGACATTATTACGCCGATTAAAACATGCCAACTTCACGAATGCAGTGATGGTGGAATCTTCCGACATACTTTAATATAATCGTTTATCCTGTCAATTCCTTCCATTCCATACCAAAATACTGTCCAGTTAGTTCCTGGTACTCTCATATTACCAGTTGATCGTTCAAAGTACCTGATAATTCGGCGATTAGTACGACATAACTGATGCGTAACGTCAACATCATCCCATACTTACCATTTGTTAATCTTGTTGTCTGCTCTCGCTCTCCATACAATACTTGGATAATTAACTTCAATCCGCTTCCACAATATATCAGCCACACCAATTCCCTGACTGTCTGGCGTTACAACAAACTTATCCAAATATGAAATGTTGCCTTTACTCGCTCCATCCTCGTTCTCTTTAGTAATCACCGCTGCACCCTGATAGTCGCCAACGAGAATGATGCTATCGATACAAGTTTCCATCCTCTTTAAGTAATTATCCACATCTAAACGACGCTCGAACGACGACTCGATGAGTTTAACCATCGAGTCGATATTGAGAGTGGAAAATGAGGTGTGATAAGATACTTTTAAGCCATGACGGAGGACCGTAGTCGTCGTTAGTGGGGCAGAAGCAGAACGAATAGGAAGTGATGAAGAAAAGAGAGGCTTGTCTGTTATTAAGTTTGCTATTAGGCCAGTCGGGGAATGAGCCGGTACCATTATTGCTGAGGATGTTATTGGCAGATGCTCCAGACATTTTTTAATCATTTCGAGATTTTCCAATCCCGTTGGATGTGTGGAATACCACTGCGGATTTAATTGATAGCTATTTTTGATATCGTCGTATTCCGACTGAATGTTGACAAAAACATGAGATCCTTTCCTCTCAGGTGATGGAATACCGCCTTCTGAATTAATAACTACAATCTTTGTTGGTTCAAATGCCATTTTTTCATTAGATCCTTCCGTATCTGATTCTGTCTCATCTGCTTTCAAATGGGCCAAGGCATATGATAAGGCGACCATTCCAGAATTAGACGATATTGTCCTTTGCGTCGAACAATCATTTGTAGCAGTCGGTAATATTAACGGTATCTGGCCTAGATCCGTCAAATTCCTCAGCCATGATAAACATACATTGATATGATGATTGCCATCTGTGGCGGGAGTGGGAACGACGTAATCGCTCAGTTTGTTTTCCGTTGAAAACACACCAGTGTATACGGGTGCCGCTCGACCGCCGGCTGATTCAATGGCTTCGGTGACGTTAAGAGCCTCAGCAATCATTAGGTCACGAAGTCTGTCATATTGCTGATTTTGAGGGGTATTCCAATATTCATTATCCAAAACCGCTATTGGCATTAAACCCAACTTCTGGAGATGTACTAGCGTTTTTGCAACGTAACTTAAATTAAGCGGAGTGAATGGAGACTGTATTTTAATTAGCGCCAAATGTTCAATAGTGTCTTGGAATAATTTATTGATGAATTCAACTCTTTGCTCGCGAGATGTTTGCTGTAGTTGTTGTGGAGTTTTTTGCTGAATCGTTTCGTGTTGTCTTGGAGACGATTGAACAGGAGTTGATGCCGCCGGTGAAGGGTATGTTTTAACATGTCTTTTCTTGTAAGAGTTAATTTCACGCTTGGTTGGGTGAAAGTGAAGTACACTCAATATTAGGTCCTAATTTTAAAAATAAATGTTGATATTAGTTAGCCGAGAGAGAATATAACCGGCGATAAAGTAGCGTTATTAAAAATTGATTGAGTACCCTTTCATTAGCGTACGTTGGTTCGATTATCGTTTCGTCAGAGATGTCGGTATTCTGATAGAATGAATGATTTTATAATTGAAACATTTGTCAAGCCATTTGAATCAGGACGTTTCCTTACAAACAACACTACGTACCCTATCAGTTTGTGTTGAGAAACTGTATCGGGAATGACGTAAGAGACCATTTTTACATATTGTGATGGGGTTTATTAACTGTGAAAGGGATTTCGTATATGTGGTTCTAAATATTCGCATAATAATGAATCGAGTCAGTGGGCGGAAGAGTACAAACCGAGAGGTTATAAACTTTCGAGTGTTTGTTTATATAACGCCATACCTATAAACATTATCCAAAGCCCAAATGTTCCCGCAGTGTCAACTTTCAGATGATCTAATCTGTAGATATAATTAATTAATATTTGTTATTGTTTTTGATCGAGATTGACTTGTGAAACCAGATAACGACACAATGCAGAGCATGAGGTAAGGCATAACCGCGTGACTAATTTCATAGAACATTTCATCGCGTAAACATGACTGCTAGGAGAAAATCGAATAATGGCAAGCAAAGAGTACAAAAGATACATAGAGAAGTTAGACTATCTGAGGCGCGGGTGTTGTAAGGCTATCTATACCTTTCCATCCATTTCCACCCAATCACATCTGCTGGCATATTATCTGAATTGAAGAGAAAACGTATGAGAGAAGAGTCATTCCAACTAATAGTTTGATTGTAAATATAATTAGCGTATATGGACATATCCTTACTATTACTCTTTCATGTATAACATTCCGAAACCTAGAAAACATATTTTCGCAATCGAACGAAAGAATATGAAGGCAACTTTCCAACCTCTTTAACGACAGTAATTAACGAAGAACGTATCGCTGTACATCTCATTCACTGATAACACATGTCACTAAAAAAATTATATTTTCATACTACTGTTCGCTGAAGACGGTGTTCGAACAAATGTTAAACATGTTATTTGTTTATATATCAAAACGAAGCAAGTCTTTCGTGGCTTAACATAGCGGCTTCACTATGTTTCCTTCATGGCAAACCATTTATAACTAATATGGCGAAGGCTAATACAAGTGAAATAGAATCGTTATCTCTAGTGCACATACAGTCAAAAGCTCGTTATAATTGATCTCGTTACAATAAAATTGCGTTATAAAAGAACTTTTTTGTCACAATTTATAATAGATTATACATGCTATTATGGAAACTCATGCTGTAGTAGAGTTCATGGCTTATGTCCAAGTTTTCATTATAACCGAGATAAGGCTCCTAGTGCCAGTGGCACACTAACATTATTTAATTAGTCTCTCCCCTCGTGATTACTCACTAGTTTTTCGCACCAAATTCCCAAGGTAGAGGGCTTCCTTACCCTTTTATGGGCTGTTCTTTTCCTATTGGGTTGAGCTTTGACTGTAGAAGGATGTCTTATTGTCTAATACTCGGATACAACAAGAAAAGTCAGTCTTATCTCATTTAACACATCGAAGAAGTAACTCAACAATGTCCACTTGTAAGCAAGAAACCACAGAGTCAAATTTGCGGATCGCAATGGCCAACAAATTCATCGCGCTATTTCACCACATTTAAAAAAGGAACAGTACGCGCGAGGTAGGGACAATCAGTACAGAGAAATGACTAAAGCATTATTTAAATAAACTCTTATGCTGACCGAAGCCCATAAGTGTGAGCACATAAGCACCTTAATGACAATTGGAGGAAGACGTTATTTTTTGATAAAGCCGCGGTCCAAGTTTACCAGAACACTGTCAAACTTTGGTACAAAGGAGAACGGCCACTCCGTCCCATGCCCAAAGATCGAACAAAACTCGTCGCATGGAAGAATAACGGATTATGTAGAAATCTTCCGGAAACAAATTCTAGCAGTAAATAGAATGCTTGAAAGTAGGTGAGACCCCAACAAGACAACAAGACAAAACACATGAATCGTCTTGATACGGAGTTTTTGAAAGAAATATTCCAGTGTTTATGGACTGGCCATCAAATAGTCCTGCCTTAAACCCGATATAAATTAACAAATGTCTAATATGGTGAGGAGTGGGGGTGGATAGAATTCGGAAAGCATGTTTGGTGAGATTAATGGAACGGCGTTGTAAACTCATTATTGAGAAGAACGAAGAACGGTTTCCTTATTAACTATTAGGCAATAAGTTTGGACTCCTTATTGGCGATATTCAGTTTGTTTGTTACACGTCGCGCATTTACGATAAAACATTACTACACTGTGAAGAATTTTCTCGATAATTATGCTGAAAATTCAAGTCAATGGTAGGACTGTCAACATTACCCAATCGCTTACACTTTTGCCAGCCGAAATGAATTATCCCTATATCGCTAAAATATGATGCGTTTCGTAATCACATTTTCGGGATGGCTGCAGTGCAAAAAACTAGTTAGAGAGAAACTATGAACTAAAAATACAAGCTTGGTAGAACCATCGATAGCGTCGATGTTACTGTTACAAAATGCTCACGTTCCACATTCTGATCAACAGTTAAGTAGAATTTATATAGACATGATTCTATATGAAATACGTCATAATGATAACTTTAAAAGTTCATGATATGTATTTAAAATTATAATCTATAGCAATGGTTTGTGCATGAGCCATAGCCGTCTCCACTAAATCAAATTTGTCAGAGAAAAGTTGACTAAATTTTCAGCCAAACAGCCTCTCATTTATATCATGTTCAACGTTGCTTTGCAGTTCATCCCCACAAAGTGCGACGATGATTTGTTGATGTCATTACAAATAAGTATCACGTGGTAAAACTAAATAATCACAATAACACAAGTTGCAGTGAAGTAGTGCACAACTTCATGCGAAGTTGTCAAAATTCGACTAGTGCATAATGAGTAAGAAATGGCTGCTGAGAAAGAAAGTCTCGGTGACAACGGCTTTCACTAAACCTCAGCAATGCTTTTTTTACGTTTATATTACTCATTGCCTAGCGATTGATACCAATGAAAAGCGAAATCAACTCAACATGTCTTTTTCCGATACAACAGTTTACGTCGACCAGTTTGGAAAGGTACACACTACAGTGTTGATACCTTCCTTTTCTGCACTCGCTTCAGAACACAACATCGCCGAACCTGCAAAAGGGTCTGAAGGATCTTTGTATACAACTGTAGATCTGTTTCACGTCATCATTCAGCGCCCATTGTATCATCACATCCCATGTATGAGGTGCGTCGTAATCAGATAAAAGTGCTTCAGCCATAGCAAAAAAAATCTCACCCTTTTTTCTTCCCTCCATATCTCCCGTCTCTCACCATCCTGTCGTCAACTTCTATCCGAATATTTACTTCCCTTTCACTTCTTCCTTTCGTCCCTTTTTCATTTATTATCGTATTTCGGTGTAAAGATAAAAAAAAAACCAAAAAAAAAGAATATAAATATATATAATTGGCTTACGTTATTTCACAATACTCGATCTTTTAGCCATAATTCTCGTTAACTATATAATTATATCGATTATTCTCTCTCTGGTCCTCTAACTCTACCTAATTTCGTTTCGAATTATTACGGGTCCGGAGACCTCGCCCAAACTACTTGGAATTTTCATTTTCGTTAAGATATTTGGCATAATCCAATAATCTTTATTTCTCAAGTAGTTACGACTTATTCCTATATTAGAACTGCTAGCAAACGGCTACTATCAGTTTAAAGTTACTTAAAATAATTAGAGTATATAAATTTCATTTACACACGAATCGTATACATTTGTGAACAATGTCAAAGGAAGAGATGTCAGAGACAACTACTATCAATTACAATTATGAAAACGTCAATGCCGATGCCGCGAGCATTTCCATCAGAGGCGACACTGTTCGGTCCGACGCGGAGCCTACTGAAGTAGCAGTACCTGTAACCAGTAATGGCACGACTGCTGGTATGTCAAACCATACGTTCTATATATATGCGTTTTCCTCTTGGATACATTCCTTTTTCGGTCGTATTAAATAAAGTTTCTAACAATCAATACTGTCGTAGAATACCACACAGAAGACGCTCCAAAGGAACCAAACGGTGACGTTGATGGCATTGCCAGTCAAACTCTTACTTTGAGAGCTCTCGTCTCGACTAAAGAGGCAGGAGTTATCATTGGTAAGGCCGGAAAGAATGTCGCAGAACTCAGAGAAGTTACTGGTGTCAAGGCTGGTGTCTCGAAGGTTATCCAAGGAATTCATGATAGAGTGCTCTCGGTTGTTGGTACCCTTGATGGAGTAGCTAAGGTAAATGTTCCGTTAATTAAGAGACCGATTTTAAAAGAGAATTCTGTGAAAGAATGTTGTCCGAAATTTATTGGGTCGGAAACGACGAATATAGAATTATCGAAATGTAATCATTTGTTGTGATATTCGACACTGTAAGCCCATCTCTTCTAACTGGTTCGCTTTTTTTAATCCTTCGTTTCCGTTTCCCAGGCCTACTCTCTCATAGCCCAGACACTTCTCGAAAACCCCGTTAACGCCAGCCCCAACAGTGCTCCCATTACTCCCTCCCCAAACGCCTTTACCTCCGTCCGTCTTCTCATCTCGCATAACCTCATGGGTACCATTATTGGTCGCCAAGGAGCGAAAATTAAACACATTCAAGATGTCTCTAACGCTCGCATGGTCGCGTCGAAAGAAATGTTGCCGCAAAGTACCGAGCGTATTGTTGAAGTTCAAGGGACCGTCGAAGCGATTAAGATTGCAGTATGGGAGATTGGAAAGTGTTTGATTGAGGATAATGAAAGAGGGATTGGAACGGTTTTGTATAATCCAGCTATTAGAATTACGACCCCTAGTTATTCGTCGAATAGAGGAAGGAACGACTATGCTATTCGTACTGGCAATGGAACCGATTTCACCCGTCCTAATCGCAACAGCGCTGCTAGTGGCGGTTCCGGAAGTGACTATTCTGGTTCTCGTCGTTCATCGACCAATTTTGACCCCGCGCAAACCCGTGTGCAGAATATTAGCATTCCCGCTGATATGGTTGGATGTATCATTGGCAAAGCTGGATCTAAAATTTCCGAAATCCGTCGTCTTTCCGGATCTCGTATCAGTATCGCGAAAACGCCTCACGACGAAACCGGTGAAAGGATGTTTACTATCCAGGGAACGTCTGAAGCGAATGAAAAGGCCTTGTACTTGCTTTATCATCAATTGGAGAGCGAAAAAGATCGTCGCATGAACGCTAGTAATGGGGGCGAATCTGGTGTGTAATAGCTTTGATTAAACGTGTTTCGGTGTGTTGGAATAAGCTACGCATCAGTTTTAGCCATTTCAGTCGTTTTCTTTGGGTTTTATTTTCTTTTTTCACTTGATTATAATTGTGATATCGTTGTTTCTCAGTCAAATATTTACAGTGAATTTGGAGCGGATATTTCATGTTTTTTCTCAGTTTTGCTTTTCCCTTGATCTGTTATTCATATATGTATATGTGTGCGTGTGTGTGTATATGTATGTATATATTGTTATATTTAGAAATATCTATCGAAAGTCCCTATTTGTACACTGGTCACTTCACAAGTAGGAGTCAGTATACCTTTTTTGAACACTGGACTTTTCCTACAACATAGGAGAGTATACAATTACTTAAAAGTCATTATCATCAAAATTTTTTCATCTCTCTTCTATTTCCGTTCAATTCTACCTCTCCCATCTATATCTCGCACATCTCAAAATTTTCTTCTATAACCCTGTTGTTCCTTTGTTATCGTCCTATTACTATTTTCTCCAAATTCCATGAATCCGCCCCACATTATCTCATCTTTGATATCGAATCACATAATAAAACAAAAAGTATGACTCAGGATATATGAAATATGTACAGACAGAGCGAGTGGTGTGAGCATCTATTTAGCTAAGATATATTGGCGCATGCACAATTCTTAAATGCAGGATGCAAAATTAGATTATAATGCCAATGAGACTGAAATTCTGTAGTCGGCTAAAGTTTTGTTAACTGCGCGTTGTCAAATTAGGTTTTTCGTATTATCACACCTTTCAGTAATGGGGCAACAAGTCCACAGTATTATTAGTATATTACTATGCTCAGTTCATTAGCCTCAAGTATTCATATACTGCAGAATTTAAGATTTATTTCGAAACTAAATATACAAGTTTTAAATTCGTAAAAATCGTGATAATAATCATTGTCGTGACGTTCTTAATTTGAATGCTACATTGAGATATAAATAGTTCTATCTTTATGCCAACCGTCCTCTCCCACCCATCCCGTTGCAATGGTTTCAATTACTGCTGTTCGTCACTTGAAAAAGAAAACTGCTTGGTTGTATTACTACATTGTTGGTTTTTTTTTTAACATTATAATTTTGTTTCATTTTCAAAGATACTACAAGCTGGCACCACCATTACCAAATATTTTTGCATTACGTTTTATTCTACACTTTCCTCTGCGTCATCCTTACCAAAAACCCGCTATTTAACCCCAACTCCATCTCTTCCGTTCCGTATTCGTCTCTCCTCCACTTTCTACATTAGTAACTTCCTGTTGATTACTTCCACTTGACCCGGCCAATTCAGCAATTTTCGTAACACTCTCCTGGCTCGGACTACTCTTGTAAAGATTTTGCGCTGTTAGCTTATCATTTGTAACCGACGAATGCGTCGCAGCCATTTCTTTGACGCTAGCAACAGATATTGCACCGCGCAAACTAACAGTGTCTTTTACATGGCTCACATCGTCAGCCGATTGGTGAAATGTATTCGTATTGTAGATCGCATTGTTGCCAGAATTTGTCAGATTCGAACTCACGTCTTCTGCTGCTGGTGTTGTGCGCTGTGGTGTAAGTAATGATTGTCCATGAACAGAGTTTGTATTTAGAACATTATCTTCGCTCGCGGAACGGTGCGTATTGGATGGATACATCATGTTCTCCTTTTCACTTAAACCAATAGCACCGGAAACATCGCCACCCGAAAACAGTCTAGCGATTCTATCCAAAGGACTCAGCGTATCATTCAAACTCATCTGATTATCCCCTAGTCCAGACACAGTCGCCGCCCTAACATGTCCACCTCCATTGCCACCAGGATTTCCAAACTGCTGAGAATTCATTCCAGGTCCCACATTATAATCGATAGGTGCAACGTTAGGCGGAACACGCGGAGCAGTAACGATGACTTCTGGCTGCACGACAGGCATGGCCAAAGGGACAGATTGATGGGGGTCGTCATCGTCACCACGCGATTGCATCCAAGGGTGAGAGGCATGTGCGCTGTGTCCGTGGTGATAGGGATACGTGTGTCCACCACGTTGGCCAAAAGTAGAGGACACACTTCCCACAGAGTCCATTCTTTGTGGCATATAACGTATTGGAGGTGTAGATCCGTCTCGTTGATGATCTTTTTCGCGTTCTCTGTCATTCGAGAATGACGATGCAAATGTCCATATATCAGCTTCTTCTTCCTCGCCCGTTTCACCCTTATTACGCCAATTCCCAAACGAGTCGGTACTTCCTCTTACGTAATGTCCTCTAGGTCCATTAAATCGGTTCCAAGGATTCAACGGTGCCGATCTAGCTGCTTCCGGCGCAATGACAGACTCTCTCTTGTCTATCCCATCAACATGTTGTAAACGCGGTAATGTTTCGACGCTGAATACCGTGTCTTTATTTGCTAAACGTGCTGCTACTGGTGAAGAGAGGATAACTTCTCGAGATCGAGGTGGGGGAGACATGTCGGTTGAGTTGCCACCAAGAGCAGCATCGATTTCGCTCATTTCGTCGTCGTCGAATTGAAGTTTGCGGCTTTTGCGTCTATAATGGCGGGTGGTAACGAAAATTGCAAGCGCTACCAATAAAGCACCGACAAATCCGCTAACAGCAGCAGCGATTATTATTACTGGTGACTTTTTGTTGCCAGTCGCGTTTGCAGACGTATTGCCAGTATTAGGGCCAGGACCAGACGCCGAATTGCCCGATACTGTAGGTGCATTTGGTGATGATGGTGATGACGGTGATGATGGTGATGATGGACTTCCTGCCGGTGAGATGGAACTCCACGTCCATTTAGTGGTGTCTAGTATGTATACTGTTTTATCATCAACTGCGCTCCCTATTCCGCCAAATACAATCATGTTAGTTCCTGAAAGAACGGCCGAGTGTCCCATGCGAGCACCTGGACTGTTTGTCCGATTTGTTACTGGTGTCGACCAGGAAATGTCAACTGGTGATGTTGCTGTTGCTAACCATACTGTATCATCCGATGGTGAACCACCAGTGCTAGCGGATAGAGTTCCACCACCTATGAGAGAAAAGAAAAACGACAGAAAAAATGTTACTAAATATTTGATTGGCTAATGTAAAGCAAAGTTACATTGGCATCCGCCTATATTTCGAAACATTACCAAATACAATCATTGTACTGTCTGTGCACACTGCTGTATGTCCTAGTCGAGCACTAAACGGAATGGGAAAAGTTGACTAAGTGTCTACGTTCATTACCACTTCACGATATTAAGCTAATTCCCACATCTTTACCTACCTTGGCTTAGGCGCCGCAATCAGAAGGGATGGATTCCACACACCTGGCTTTGTGGTGAAGGTGGTAACCGCATCTTGCGCCTGGTGATCAGTATTTTGGCCACCGAAGTAGACAATTATGTCAAACTTTGACAAGTAACAAGCGGTGTGATATGCTAGTGATGGACCATTGGCAAGAGACGTCCACTGCATAGTGTTCGGGTCCTGTTGTTTGGTTGAATTATATTATGATCAGTCAGACTGACGTGACAAACAAGATTGCTATGCAAGATTGCTGCGCACGAACACTGGCGTGTATTAGAACCTGCAAACTATTCTTGTCACAAGCCTTATTGGCTTAACGCTTAGACATTAATATGAAGAAATTATTTCCAATGTATATGTTTCCATTACTGCTTCACAGCAAATTACCACCAGTCATCTGCACACACTTCTTCGGCTATATTGTCTATATACAATCCCATGCACAAAAACCTTTCTCTTAAATTATTCACTTGTCATTCAAACTTACCAAAGAATATAGCAAGTTGTTAATGCCCGTCAGTTGATTTCCTGTAGGAGAAGCTTGCTGGCCAGCATATCGATATAGTATATTATTTGCAGCTGTGAGTGTTGCACCTATGCGAAAATCTTGCGGCCCAGGTGCTAATAAAAGATGGTGGTTTACAAAGAAGACATGTTAAAAGATTTGTCATGTTACGGTATGGAAACTCTCTTTTTTTCTGCCCGGTCCTTTCCTTTAACCTAAATCGTCATAGCATTGAGTCTTAATATCTTTCCCACGCATCAATGAGATTCAAAAAACTTTAAAACTATTGTTACAGTTCCCAGCCATTAATATCAATGCAACCCAGTCGTATGATTGTGTAACGGGAATAAATAGTTGTATATACTAGGATGGGGCTAAACGACATGAGCAATTATGCGTTAACGCAAATAACTTGCGGAAAGCGCAATAAATCCCACCCGCAACAAAATCGCACAGAGAGATATCGAGACAAGATCCGATATCAAAGAAAATGGCGTTGGGGGGCTAATATATCACTTTTGAATCCATCGCTCTTTAATATCTGGACCCTCTATATTCAATAGATTCCCAGACATCCCACATCTCCCACGAGCATGCCAGTCCCCCAAACTCAACCATCACGTCACGCTAACCATTCTAAATCCCAACAAAAAACTTACAGGTAGTACTCTCTTGCCAATTCCAATAATTTGTATCCAGAACTGCGATCTCCTTTTGAATATTCTGGTCCGTCGAATTAGCTATTAGGACGTACATTTTTCCATTTGAGAGGCAGTTGCTAGGTACGAACTTCTGGGGGAGCGGTATTGTGCTTCCGGCAACGGCAGTTATGTTAGGCTTATACCAATGCTGATCGGATACACTCCAAACTACAACATCGTTACTTGCTACGGGATTCGTGAATATGTCAACAGATGAAGTAGTTACACCGCCGAAGAGGACCATATAGTTGGATATTATACAGGCGGAATGACCCGCACGCCAGGAAATGTCGGTTGTCGGTTGGCCAAGAGAGGACTGTGCGTATGTGAAAGAAATAGGAAGGAGAAAAACTAGGAAAAAGAAAAGGGATAGATGATGAAGGGGTGAAGAAGAAATTAAAGTGGAATGAATCGTAAAGGTCGGAGGTGATTTCAGCCTCGACATTTTTTTTGATGGTTTCATGTGGTTAATCATTAATGTTCGTATGTTTTGCTTTGTTTTGTTTGTTTTTGTTTTTTTCTTGTTCAATAGTATACAGGAGTCTTCTACTATTATACAAAGGGAAGCCCGATGCCTAAGAAAATTACAACTAGAATACCATATGCATCAAAAATTGATTGCAGCGATTGATTGATGATGGAATTGAATATTTGATTTCGGGTCGTTTTTGTGTTAAAATTATGCTGTTAGTGCGTATTTCCTGCTAAAATGCTGTTGGTATTAAAACTTTGTGCCGAGATAGTCGTTCGATATAGTCCAATATGTAATTAACGTAAAGCGTAGTCGGGTTTCCGTGGTAATTGCTAATCGATTGTTCGTTATTGTCCGACTTGAAACTGCTATCAATTGTAGTCACACTGTACATATATTATTACAAGAAGTGATAGCCGTATCTTTTTCACGCTAGTAGTCCAGTTCTCGCGTAGTCTCGTAATATACAGAAACTATTGACGTATACATTCAAACGGAACAAAGTCAGGACGGGGAAAAAGAGGTGGTGTGATTGATGAAATGAGAAGTATTTTTATTTGGTGACATCTAATACAATGTTTTTTACAATGGTAAGCAGCTTAGTAGGGAATATGTTATTGTGGCTACTGTATAATATTGCTGTATTACAAGAAGGTATTTTTAGCGCTCGACGGAGCCAATCGAATAAAGGGGGATGGAATTATAATTAGCACTCTGTATATATTTATAATTACATTTACATTAGTGAAGTGACAAGAGCGAAAATAATACACAGCCCAAAGAGTGATTATTATACATAATCCTTCCTACAAAAAAAGCAATTTGTTTAATAAGCGTTAATAAAAACCAAATATCAATTAATTAGTAATCTTTACACCCACATATTTATATCTGTTATCGCTACTATTATTATCTTGCTGTTGTCTAACGGCGAAATTTAGGTTATTATCACGATTACTTAATATTATTGTGACATAAACTTCCGTATATATCTTAACCTTACTGCGGAAATTCTATATAATCATCATATAAAAATAATATAAATACTGCACATACATACTACAACGCATATATATTCTAAGATTCTTGAACGATAAACAAAATCTCTAAATGGACATGCTATACCTAGCAAGAGAAAACGTTGTGTATGCGAAGATTCTTCCGAGCGGATAACGCCATTTTCCTCTTTAGTCGTCATTGCCTTCATAAACCTCATAGTCCCTTTCATCGCCCATTAGCGGTATACTGTATATAATGTTTCACAGACCCCTCATCCGCACTTATTCTTTTTTCTCATGGTATGCCGATGTTTGGCATGCACGCCACACAATGGGTGAGCCACATATTCCACAATGCGAGATCATTGACAGCATTTACAAACCGGGTTGGGTGGTATTTTTATCCTATTTCTTGGCTTTTTCAGACAGTCGATTATAAAGTACAAAAAAGATCATCTACGCTGCTTGTGCATCAAAACGTTGAAATAACATAATAACTTTGTAAGCAAGTCATTGCTTCAATTACAATCTCTGTCGTCTTGGCATGGTTGTTATACGAAAGGCTAGACCATTGAAATAACCTTTGGGAGGAGGACGAGATCATGAGAAACTGATTTGCAAAAAAAGCGTTTATAACAGATTATGCGTTCTGTATATGCTGAAATATTTACCCTGTACGATCAAGTCTTTCTATATATTCATTCTGTAAAACTTTGTTGTCCGTTTGGCCTGACTTGGCTAGTAATATCTTTTCAATCGTGGGTGTCCGCTTAAGGTACTACCCGCTGAGGACAACGGGATGTGTATAGTTCGGTTTTGATATTTGAGCACGGACGCATTATTTCTATTGGAAATTTTTGCATCATGCTATGTGCTAGAATAAAAAAGGAAAACAACTTAAAAATGCACTACACAACCCTGGAGACTTTCTTTTTTGCATGGGTTACCAAGCTCTTGTAACAAATTACCCGACTGCTTACCTGTTTACCGGCGTTAAAAGTGAACACAATGAGAATTTCCACAGAATAGTTTGAACTATGGGGGTCCATTAATCATAATAATTAATAGTCATGTTGTGTCTAAGTTCAAGACCACTCCCTTTCAGAACCCAGTCACTCACTCCAAAACTCAATTGTCTCAGGTCCTAAACATGACAGTGCAATAAAAGGTCAAGTTAAAAAATGGTACAAAATCGTGAAATGTAAAAACATGCATTAGTATGCGAAAACTCTTATCACGCAAACAACTGCAGTTGAATATGTTTAATACTAAGTGGGTGGAATATCAAAGCCGTGACAGTTTATCCCAGTGTATTCCACTAGTGTTAAATTGTCCCAGAACAGAATTTTCCACTTCGTAGAGATATCAGGATAACAAGAAATGTATAAAGCCGGATATTACATTAGTTTCTCAAGCGTACAATCAGAGAAATTCCTCAAAAGCGGTACCTTCATTGGCGTATGAAAAGAAGATCTCGTCATTGCATGGCGACATGTGTGTCTTAGTCTTAGGAGTGGCAGGCAATGTACGGAAGCATGTGAGACAGCATTTGAGCTGATTGTTTGATAATAGACTATCAATAATAAAAATTGTAAACTTCAAATATTGATTAGACATTGTGAATAATAGATACTAACTGCGCCTGATAAAGAACCTCAAAGGCGTCAATTAAAACGCGAGAAATCTCGAGGCATACCAGTTGAAGCATTCGGTAGACAGCATGATAAGGCCTCTTTGTCAGAAAATGTATCTCAAACATATTAAGAATTAGTCACCTCATTTGGAAAACGTCAGAAAACTAATCCCGCGCGTTTAGTTTAAGTTTTAAAGAACGGATTTATGTGATACTTTCGGAATAGCTTAGAGAGAAATTATTACAACAAAAATACAAAATTAGCAGAGCAACGAAGGAAATTGGTAAATGATAATTATGCCGTAACAGGAGGTAAAGCGGATTATTGTAGTGTTGATGCTACAGCTCATTATAATTACAATTGAGCACAAATTTTCACGTACCCAATTCCGATTAGCAGGTACAGTAAGTAAGATTTATTATCTCAGTCCGCGCAAAGTACATTTATTTGGTATTTAAGATAAAGCAATACGCGAACAAATCAGTTACTTTTTTGATAAAGACGGGAAAATATAGGGAAAGATCCTGATAACACACTAAGCATAGTATTCAATGGGATTAAAAGTTAAATAAAAGTAAAAAACATTAAAGATTACCTGTGATAATGCAGGCGGACAGATAAAAATAACGCCACCATCTGTATTTAGTATTTGCGGTCATTATAAAAGTATCGAATTAAATTTTATGATACTTGAACCTAATAAATTTAAGTGTGATGGTGGTTTTGATTGATTAAGAAATTATACCGCAAGCAACAGTAGATTACGTGGATTATACTGTTGAAATTGTGAAAAATCGAGTACATACACTACCCTCGGAAAAGTATTTGGTCAAGCATTTTTTAAAAATTTCAAGATTGAACATATTAACTAAGCAAAAAA